TGTATGCGTGTGTGTAAATATGTATGTATGTATGTTTGTATGCGCTTGTTTGTGTATGTATGTGCACTGTATGTGTGTGTATGTGAAGTATGAATGTTTGTATGCATAAATGATTTTAAGTTTGTTTCTATTTATGTATGTGTGTGTGTGTGTGTGTGTGGAGAAGATGTGATAGAGAGAGAGAGAGAGAGAGAGAGAGAGAGAGAGAGAGAAAGAGAGAGAGAAAGAGATCATCATCATCACCAACTTCGTTTTGTAACTCTTTGATGATCTTGACCTTCTTAGCCAGGCACCTCTTCAGCATGGCCACCTCGCTTAAGTAGTCGGACCTCCATTCCTCTGCCATCTTGTTCATCACGTAGAGAATGCTCTAGAACGATTGTTGATGATGACGATGATTGTTGATGATGATGATGATTGTTATCATCATCACAGCCATCGTCATCATCAACAACAATGTGATGATGATGACAAAACAACAACCGCATCAACAATAATAATAAATTCACCTCAGTTCTTTTGCCTGCTCTTAGCCTGGCAAAACTTTTAACATCACTGCCAACACTATTGAGTTTGACGTCATCATCGTCATCACAATCATCACCACCATCATCATCATCATTATTATGATCATAATCATCATCGTCGTCGATGTTGGCATCATTATCATCATCATCAACAGCATCGTCGTCGTCGTCGTTGTAGTAGATGAAGTCGCTTGATTTGTTTTTGCTGCTGGTGTCTCGTTTGGATTTCTGAGAATCTGTTGTTGTTGTTGTTGTTGGTTAAACATATCAATCAACCAACCACCCAACAAATCAACCAACCAATCAACCAACCAACCAGCCAACAAATCAACCAACCAATCAACCAACCAATCAACCAACCAGCCAACCAATCGATCATGCAAAGATCGATTTAAGTTAAGACTAAGACTGAATGAAATCGAATTCCATCATTCATTCACTCAATTAATTGCTCATTCATTCCTTCATTCATTCATTCATTCATTCATTCACTCAATTATTCATTAAGACTAACTTTTAACAATTGAATTCAGGAAGACTTTCTTCTCGCTGCCGTTCAACTCGTCTACCGTATAATAGAGACTATCATCATTACCACCACCAACAGCATCATCATCATCATCATCATCACCACAGTTTTTATTATTATTCTTATTATTTTTCATCATTTTCACGCTCCTCCTGGTCATAATTTTGGTTGGTGCAGTCGAAATTTTACCAGGTTTTAGGATCTCTGGTTGAGTTTTTAGGCCTATGATGGATTGAAAGAGTTTAGCGGAAATCATTCATTCACTCAATTAATTGCTCATTCACTCCTTCATTCATTCATTCATTCACTCAATTATTCATTCAATCAATTAACCATTTGCTCAATCAATCACTGATTTATTAATACATACATGGCAGCGATTGAACTAAACATTCATATATTCATTCATTTCTCTAATAATTCATTCATGAATTCACTCATTTATTCAATCACTCATTCATTCATTTCTCCAATCATTCATTCATTCATACATTCACTTAATCACTCATCCATTTATTCATTCAATTGTTCATTTACATTCTTCTGTCGAAGTTATCAACCTAGAAACTGAACATTCATTCGTTCGCCTATTCATTTGCTCCTTCATTCATTCAATCATTCACTCATTCATTCAGTCAATCCTTCATTCATTTACTCATTCACTCACTCAATCAACCCACCATTAGCAGCAGTGGGTATTAGATTCTTCAGGTACTGATTAAAATCACCAACGTCATCATCATCATCACCATCGCCGCCATTTTGAGTGACGTCATCATCATCATCGTTATTATTATTATTATTATTATTATTATTATTATTATTGTCCATCATCATCATCATGTCGATCATTTCATCATCATTCTTTTCACTATTATTAATAACATCATAATTTTCGTCATCGTCGTCGTCATCAAAATTTTGGCGGGAAAACGTTTGCGGTTTTGGCGCCATTTTATTCATTCTTTTATTTCTATTCATTTTTTCCGTCTTTCTATCGACTTCAATCGGATGGAAGCGTTGCAGGTGTTTTATCAGGCTGGTCGTACTGCACTTTGACTGCTTGAACATTCGGTCTGTTTGATTGAATGTGATTGGTTGGTTGGTCAACTGAGTAAGAATTTGATTGGTTGGTTGATCAACTTAGTAAGAATTTGATTAGTTGGTTGATTAGCTGAGTGAGAGTTTGATTGGGTAGTTGATTAATTGAGTAAGAATTTGATTGGTTGGTTGATTGATTGCTTGAGGGTATAATTGGTTGTGTGATTAGTTGAGTGAAGTAACGAAAAACGAACAAATGAATGAAGAACAAATGAACGAAAGAATGAACAAACGAATAAAAAAAACCCAGACAAACCGCAGTGAGTGCATTGGGCCCAGTCTAGACTTATTTTCCTGAAATGGCCCCAGACGTACGACGTCCTAGGCCTCGTCTGGTAACTTGATTTCGTGGAGTCTAGTCGTCATAATGACGATGACGATAAAAATAGAATAATAATAATAATAATAGAATAATAATAATAATAATAATAATCCTTTTATTTTCTAACTCCAAATAACAAATATTAATAATGAAATAATTATAAAATCCTATTTAATCTAAATAAAAATAAAAAAATTATAATAATAATAATAATAAAATAATAATAATAACAACAAAAACTAACATTTAACATCATTATCATAATCACCGTAGATACCATAGCCATCAGTACAATTTGTTACAATGAAACTACCGCCAAAATAATCATTATCATCATTTTTGCTTCTATTGTTGTTGTTGTTGTTGTTGTTGTTGTTTTTCAGGCATTCATTGAGCTTTTTGAAATCATCCTTAACGTCGATGATGTGTGCAGTCATCAGGTGTTTGATCAGTTTATTATTGTTGTTGTTGTTGATGTTGTTGTTGCTGCTGTTGTTGTTGCTGTTGTTGTTGCTGTTGTTGTTCTTGTTGATGTTGTGAATGACGTAATCACATAAACGACAAGTGGCAGAGTCGGTGGATTCGTCGTAGGTGAAATAATTCCAAGTGAAAGTTCTTTGGATGGTTGTTTTGTTGTTGTTAGATGATGATGATAATGACGTTTTGTTGTTGTTGTTTGTGAATTCGCGAGTTTTTATCGTTGCTGATGTAGTTGCGTTGTTGTTGTGTTTGTTTAAGATGGAAGTCAGGTGCTCTTTGTTGTCTTCCAGAGAAAGATCTACAGAGAAATGTTAATATATAGAAAAACCATTATATAGCCATACACACACGTACACGCACACATACATTCACTCACACACGCACTCACACACACACACACACACACACACACACAGAAAACGAATTTTTAACTAGTAACAAAAGCTCAACCAAAAACAAATAGCACAGGTCTGACCATTTGAAAAAGTTATCTAGTCCAAACACCACGCACACACGCACGCACATACCATTTAGTATACTTTTTTCTTTCAAAATCTCTCGATAGCTATGCTGATGCTTCGATCTTAGGTGTGCCAATAAGTTGGATGTGTTCCCTTTCGGTCTTGTAAATATACCGTTGCAAATCTTGCATCTGTGTGTGTGTATGTGTGTGTATGTGTATATGTATGTGTGTGTGTATTCAAGTTTCCATGTATCATCATCAACAACAACGTCATCAAACTCATGGTCTAAAATTTAAGCGATTTAAAAAGTGGCAATTTTAAATAAGTGCTACATAAATGTCCCATTTTACTAGTACATACAATAATAACAATAACAACAACAACAATAATAATAATATAAATAACAATAATAATTATAAACGTAGCTAACTTCACATAAAGTTTGTCCAGTCCAACAAAGAACTTCCAAACCAGAGATGTTTTTCGGGATGGGGTGAAATTAGGAACAGCGGTGATCACTAAATATTAGGAAAATAATAAAAATAATTATAGTAATTATAATTATTATTAGTAGTAATAGTATTATAATCCCTACCCCCGGTTTTAGGGTTAAGCGAAATGTTGACATCTTCCTCTTCATAATTTGTCTGTGACCTCTTTCCTTCGATTCCGTGCTTCTCCTTCAGGTGATGGGCCAAATTTTTTAGGGATGTGCTCGTCACCTTTGTGGGTGGTGAATTAGATTGAGAATTAAGTATGGTTAAGTAAGAAGTTAAAGATTTAATTATATTTTTTAGTACTGTTAATCGATGATAACTGTTTTAGCACTAAGGATGTTCAATTAGAATTAGACATACATGCATAAATACATACATACTAACATTCATATTCACATACATACACATATGCACACATATGCACAAATACATACACATATATATATATATATATATATATACATACATGCATGCATATGTACATACAATACAAATAGATGCTTGTATTTTATTTATACTATACAGTTTTATACTACACACATATACGCATAAGTGATACACACACACACACACACACACACACACACACACACACACACACACACACACACACACACACACATACACACATATACATACATAAGAGATACACACACACACACACACACACACAAGCCAAAACTAATATTCCGTTTGGTCTCGTAAATAAAAAACTCAGATTAATTTTTAAATAAGTTATTTGAATGCAAAATTGAAATTAAAAAAAAATATCCGGATTTATCCGATAATGATACCCACATCAATGGGAAAACAGCAGTACTTGCAAGTATATCGGATAACTTCACCGTCGATCGTCGTCTTACGGTAATAGGAAGTCAATTTCGCCTTATCGAAGCCCCCAAGCAAAGTGCTATCCCAGTTGTTAGGGTCCGTAGAATTAGGATTAATATTAGGCAAAATTTGTATCTGATCGGCCGCCATATTATCCTCAGATGACATTTTATTTTGATAATATTTTTTAATATTTTTTGTTTTAATTTAACCAAATAGCGGTACTATTCGACAATTTTACCGTCGAATATTTGATATTTGATGGAACTTTTTATCGAGTAACCTTTGAAAAAGTGACAACTCGATACTTCCGAGTCTGAAGATCGAGGTTGAACTAAAAACCGTATTGATCCGAATAATATGTCGGTATTTTTTATTTATATTAAAGTCGAATTATTAAGTTCACCAAAAGATTTTAACCCTTATTCATAATTTTCCATGTAGGTAGACATATTAGGAACTGGAAACATTATACCCAAATCACACGTTTTATAAAGTCATTTATTCAAATCACATTTTGTGAACTTGTCTGAGGCAAGACTAGAAGACGGCGGGAAGCACTTACCCTCGGTTGTTCCGTTACAAGGGTTGTTGGTTTCACAGTCGTATATATATATATATATATATATATATTTATTTATTTTTTTTTCAAAACTGTTTAAATTTTGAAGTTTGACTGAGGGTTAAGAAATTAACCAAATTTGTACAATTAGATCCGCCACTGGAAGAATCTAGTAAAATCTTGCTTAATTCGCTAAATCGGCGTTGTATTCCAAAAAATTTCAGATACAGTCTGTGTGATACATAACGATAACTATTCGTTCAATTCTAGATACTATATATCAAAAGCGTCGGGATATTTATTGCCAAATTATACATTTGCATGCTCAGAGGATTGAGTACTACATGAATTTAGTATAAATTTTATTTATTTATTAATTTAGTTTATTAATTAATTTGTTAATAACCCTACCCCTGACAAATAACCAACTTAATTCAAAATATCAACGCTATAATCTAAAACGTCGAGATTTTGATACCAAATCATACTTTTTCATGTTCAGGAGATTTATTACTACATGGATCTAGTAAAAAAAACTACTAACTTAATTTACTAAGTCAGTCCCACATTCTAAAAATATCATTTTATAGTGATAGCATTATAAATTATAATAGTCTATAAAATAAAATATGTGTAATTGTAAAACAAAATAGTTCTATTCAATGAGTATAGGGATATTGTCAATAATTAAAAAAAAAATTCAAATTGATTTCATTGTGATATCGATAATGATTTTTGTAACCTGACTGATTAAAAAGCATCAAAGAAAGTTAAAATAGGATGGAGAATTTGTTATATTGGGATATTCGTTTAAAAAGCGAGCAAAATATTACCATAAAAGCGCTTATAAATCTATGCATATTGGCTCAGCTTGGCTTGGCTCGGCTTGAAATCGGATGTTAAGCAAGGTGTGGTCTCAAACTATTTTGAATTCTCCCCGAAAAATTTGAACTGCGTGCGTACATATATAGTAATGGCTACTGTTGTTTTTTATAATGAATTTATAAAATATATAAATATAGCGAGCAAAATATTAACATAAAAGCGCTTTTAAATCTATGCATATTGGCTCAGCTTGGCTTGGCTTGGAATCGGATGTTAAGCAAGGTGTGGTCTCAAACTATTTTGAATTCTCCCCGAAAAATTTGAACTGCGTGCGTACATATATAGTAATGGTTACTGTTGTTTTTTATAATGAATTTATAAAATATATAAATATAGCGAGCAAAATATTAACATAAAAGCGCTTTTAAATCTATGCATATTGGCTCAGCTTGGCTTGGCTCGGCTTGGAATCGGATGTTAAGCAAGGTGTGGTCTTAAACAATTTTTAATTCTCCCAGAAAAATTTGAACTGCGTGCGTACATATAAAGTAATGGCTACTGTTGTTTTTTATAATGAATTTATGCATATTGGCTCAGCTTGGCTTGGCTCGGCTTGGAATTGGATGTTAAGCAAGGTGTGGTCTCAAACAATTTTGAATTCTCCCCGAAAAATTTGAGCTGCGTACTTACATATATAGCACTGATTACTGTTGCTTTTATAATGAATTTTTATTATATATATATATATAAAGTGACTGAAGTCAAGTATACAAATGAATAAATTATATTATATTAGATTATGTTTATATGAAGAGTAATATAGCAGATTCAACCAGCCAACCAGAAAGTTTCGAAGGCGTTCGTTCGATGACTTCAATTTAGTACGGTTAGCATTTTTGTTAAGACTGTATAATAGTGTAGTACATACATTAAATAAGTTTTTTTATTGATGTGAATGATTGAAATGATGAAAATGTATGGTTGAAACGAGTATAAATAGGAGCTGAGAAAACGTTGAAATCAGATCAGGCATTTCTGCCTCGCTCGAGTCGGAGTGCCTGATCTCATTTTTTTTATATTTATATTTTTTTAATTTATTTATTTTTATTTAATTTTATTTTATATAGAGTTATATAGAGTTATATAGCGTTATATAGAGTTATGTAGAGTTTGCATGTCTGTGGTTTGTGTGTTTGTGTGTTGTATTTTTTTTATATTTTAGGTGGGTTCTTTAGTGGTTGCTCATACATACATACATACATCATGTTTGTTTGTGTGGTAGTATTTTATGTTCTGTTTTACTCCTTTTTCTCTTCCTTCATGAGTCTTGAGTTAAGTTAATGAAGCATAGGTAGGTGAGGTAAAAATTAATTTATTATATAGGTAGGCTAGGGCATAAGGTAATTTAGTTACATAGGTAGGTTAGGGACTCCTATTCTTTTACTCTACTTGGTGGTGTAATTTTTGTTTTGTGTTTTTTTTTTGTTTTGTTTCACATCATACAAATAACAGGTACGCGGTGGTTCCTGGTTTTAGTGGGATTTTTATTGATTGAATGTGGTAGTATTCATGGTTATATAGAGTTATATAGAGTTATATAGAGTTATATAGAGTTATATAGAGTTATATAGAGTTATATAGAGTTATATAGAGTTATATAGAGTTATATAGAGTTATATAGAGTTATATAGAGTTATATAGAGTTATATAGAGTTATATAGAGTTATATAGAGTTATATAGAGTTATATAGAGTTATATAGAGTTATATAGAGTTATATAGAGTTATATAGAGTTATATAGAGTTATATAGAGTTATATAGAGTTATATAGAGTTATATAGAGTTATATAGAGTTATATAGAGTTATATAGAGTTATATAGAGTTATATAGAGTTATATAGAGTTATATAGAGTTATATAGAGTTATATAGAGTTATATAGAGTTATATAGAGTTATATAGAGTTATATAGAGTTATATAGAGTTATATAGAGTTATATAGAGTTATATAGAGTTATATAGAGTTATATAGAGTTATATAGAGTTATATAGAGCATAAATCCTATATAGATACCTTTCTTTGAGGTTCTTTTCTTTGCCGACCGGTCGGCTTCTTTGCATTTCTCTATTTTCATTTAAATTGATTAAATAAATAAGATTTTTCCATTCAGGTTCATTTAGGTTCATTCAGGTTCATTCATTCAGGTTGAAGCTTCCAAAGGAGTTCATCGTGGACGATCAGAATGGTTGTAATGTCACGCTACGTTCGTTCATTCATTGGCAAAGAATGCACGCCTGACAGGGGTACGTTTTACGGTTTCTTTGCGGTTCCTTTCTTTGCCAGTTGGCTGGCTTTTTTTGCTGGCGGGTTTCACCGCGGCTCGTTTTTCAATTTTCATTTATATTAATTTAAATAAAAAAGTTTTGTTCATTTTATTCATTTCATTCAGGTTGAAGCTTCCAGAGGAGCTCATCATGGAAGATGTCAGGCTACGTTCGTTCATTCAGTGGCAAAGAATACACGCCTGGCTGGGCTACGTTTTATTCTTTTTTTTCTGTAATTTAACATTAAGTAGGAATGCATACACGCACACACATACACACACAATTACATTAAGTAGCTATATAGGTAGGTTAGATAGGCATAATTTTATTTGTAGGTAGGATAGATAGGAAGCATCCAACACTAATGTAGTTGAATAGGTAGGCGCGTAAGTTTATCGCTTCTATTTTTTCTTGCACCCACATTGCACGCATCAGCGTATTACACACAAACACACACAAACACACAACTGCATACATAAACACATATGTTAGTATTTGAGCGTAATTTTGTTTTCATTACACATTCTAATTTATTATTACTAAGGTTGAGAGTAATTTAATTTCATAGGTAGTTAAGGGCAATAATGTAATTCTAGGAACAATCTTGTAATGTAAATTAAAACGCTGTAAGTGTATTGATAGGTAGGTTAATTATAAGTTTTACATTATTATTATTACTAAGTTGGAGCCCAAGGCATTACGTAGGTGGTGGGGTGGGTGCCGAAAGGCCAATGAATTGGGCTCTTGAGTTTTGTAATTTTAGGTAAGCTATGGCCGTAATGTAATGAATAGGTAAGTTAAGGCTACGTTGTAACACATATTCATTAATAGATTTAGGGTTTAAGTTTTATATTATTATTACTAAGTTGGAGCCCAAGGCATTACGTAGGTGGTGGGGTGGGTGCCGAAAGGCCAATGAATTGGGCTCTTGAGTTTTGTAATTTTAGGTAAGCTAGGGCTTAATTGTAATGAATAGGTAAGTTGAGGGTACGATAGCCGATAGACTCTGAATTTCAAAGTCTCTTGTCAGAGGTAAGCCTTGGTGGCCAGTGGTGAACCGGCAATGGTTTATTATCCGGACGGCAATGGTTTACTATCTGTACGGTAATGATTTACTATGCGGCATGGCCATAGTCTACTACCCGCACGGCTTCCGGACGGCAAATGGTTTACTATCCGCACGGCAATAGTCTACTAACCGCACGGCAATGGTTTTCTATCCGGTGCCCTGGCTGTCGGTGAACCTCTGTGCAAGGAGGGAGAATGAAGGGGGACTTTCGACTATCGTACCATTAACAATTTAATATAGATTAGTTAAGGTAATTGAATAGGTAGATAGGATTATTTTTATTAAGCAATTTGAGATGCAGGCACCGCTAAGCTTTCTGATGAGAATCTACTCTTTCTCTGTCTCTATCACGGGCTGTGTTTCAACAACAATCTCGAGGAGGACTGGCACCAGTTTTGGAGGACAACGTAGGAACCGGACCGCATTCAACATTCTGCCTGTGTCGAATGGACGACGGTAAGTTTTTTTTACATTTTACTTAATTTATTATTTTAAAATTTTATTTATTTGACATTATTTTCATTTTATAATTTAATTTTTTTTGCTTCTAAGATTCTAACATTCATTTACTACTAAGCAAATAAAAAAATTTTGTTTACAGAATGATGAGAGGTGGGCAGTGGTGGGAGTCAGCACGTTTTAGATGGTGGTCTCATGATAATTTACATATGATGATGGTGGTGTAGGAAGAATCAGCTCGTTGGCTGTTCGACTGACACTCTGAAGTTCGGATGGTATTTTGTGTGCCGATCTGAATGTGGTAGTCGGTGCAATCGAAAGTACAGTAACGACGATTTTTGAAGTAAGGTTTAGTTTCGTTTTTTATTTTTTTCATTCGTTCATTTTATCACTCAACCTTTTAAATTATTCTTCTATTAATTGATTCGTTAATTCATTCTATTCATTTATTGAATCATCGATTTATTAATTCATTCATTCACTCATTCATTCAACCAATTATTCAATCATTCAATTAATCATTTATTCGATCGTTCCTTTGTTCCTTGATTTACTAATACGCTATTAAAAAAATGTCTACAGAATGATGAGAGCTTGGCTGTGGTGGGCATCAGCACGTTTCAGATGGAGGTCTCATGATGATCGTTCCGATGACAATTCGAAGATAACGACGGTTTTTGAAGTATGATTTAGTTTTTTTTTTATTTTTCTCATTCATTCATTCATTTTATCACTATTTTTCAGATTATTCCTCAGTTAATTTATTCATTGATTCATTCTATTCATTCATTAAATCATTGGTTGATTAATTAGTTAATTTATTCATTCAACCAATCGTTCAATCATTCAGTTAATCATTTATTCGTTCGTTCCTTTGTTTCTTGATTTACTACTTCGCTAATTAATAAAAACTTGTCTACAGAATGATGAGAGGTGGGCTGTGGTGGGCGTCAGCACGTTTCAGATGGTGGTCTCATGATGATCGTTCCGATGACAAATCGAAGATAATGTTAAAGGTAAATTTGTTTTTGTCTCATTGTACCTTTGAAAGTACTCGAATTTGAACAAAGATTGAGTGTTATCTCAAAGATAAGTTGCCTATTTTTTCCAATTGCTTGTTTTTTATTTTAGTGAATTAATTTTTTTTTCAATTTATTTTTCAGTATCCGGTCGAATTCATCCCATCGATGCGTGTCAGATGATGGTCGGTGCAATGGCGGTTCGTCGGTAGTGAGTGAAGTTTCTGGAGAGTGCGCGCCCGCACATTTACATACACACACATCAATACAACACATACTTACACAACATCCATTCATTCGGTGTCGTTGTTATGTTTCTCTTCAACTTTCTATTTTCTTTACCGTGAACCGGACTTTAATTTAATTCATAGGTAAGTTAGGGACTGAGATGAGTTAAACAATTGTAGGTAGGCTAGGCCTTAACATTAGTTAAAAAGCTTCAAGTAAAATAAAAACACTAAAATATGTTAAATAAAATACTTGAAACATCTAAAACGAGAAATACAAATTTGTAAGTAAGTGAGTTGAGTTAATGTTTATAAGTAAGCTAGGGCCCTGAGAGTAATTTTATTATAGGTAGGTGACTGACTATTATTCTTGCGACTTCTTACTAGTTTTGTGTGATGTGTTTGTTTTCGCTTCACAACACCACACCAACAAAACAAACTACATTTCATTCTCGTCGTCGCCTTAAATTGTACCTTTTTGAACAATCTTTTTAATAATGTCCATTTATTTATTCATTAAATGTTGACTGGTTTCTAGTTTTTTTTAAATTGGTTATATAATTTTTGAATATTTCTTGATTTACTTTGTATATATGCATGTATAAATTATTTCTGTTTAGTATGTTGATTTAGTCATTATGATATGTTGTGAACTGTTCTTACTAGATGTTCATGTTACGTGGTTTATTATCCTTCGAGAACTTCTAAGGAGTGTGTATGATAATAATAATAATGGATAATTATTTTTATCGGTCGATATTTTGTTATATTTGTTTATTTAAAATACGAATTTGAAAAAAAAATTGACATTTTAAAATTTTAACGGTCACTTTTCATTTTTGAATGAATTAAAATAAATCAACTACTGTGTTTTTCTTTCTTTACTAAAATCTCGAAATTGTTTGTAGATCTGTACGGTTAACTGTTTGTTCGAGTTTGAACAGGCCTTGTAAATTTTTTTTATAATTTTGTTTTTTTTTTTTGTTTATTTGGTTCATTCAATTTAGTTGATTGATTGATCGGTTGATTGATCGGTTGGTTGATTGATTGACTGACAGACTGGCTGGCTGGCTGGCTGGCTGACTGACCGACCGACCGACTGACTGATTGTTTGATTGATTTATCTCATAGTATTGTATGCATGAGAAAAAATCCGATTAAGCCAACCTACGGCTTGTCGGATTGAAAAATCCTAGCGATTAAAAAGACTAATTAATAAAACACCACGAAATAAGGAGTTGATTTGTGCGGGCTTTATAAGAAACTGCGATAACTATTTTGATGGGTATTCGGGCTGCTGATGAGTACCCGGTAGGGACGAAACACGTGTCCAGCCTATCCAAACGAATAATATTCTTTCCTCCCGCTCACCGCTCTTCTGGTTCGGTGTTCTCAACATCAAAACGCAACCGCAACAGGCTTCAGTAATCCACTTTTTTCACCTGACAAAAGCAATTTCTATATTTATACTGACAAAAATAATTGTGATATGAATATATTGATTTACTTAAAGCATTATATGTACAAAAAAGTGCTATCGTAAGAGTTCTATGAAACCCTGTAAGCCAACGTATGATTTCAGCAGCCAGTTTCTTATGAGCACCAGCAGAATGTAAAATATTCATTGAATATAATGAGGATAGTTGTTCAAATAACAATTTTGATTTATTTAGGCCGTTTATTTCATAAGCAAACCAATTTTTAACATGATCGAATAGTGTAAAAAAAAGGGTGACTATAGTTCAATCCTACTAAGCCAACTTTCGGCTTCAGTAAGCCACCGGATTTCACCGGACCAAAAGCAATTTTTATATTCAAATTAACAAATATAATTTAATAATACATAATTCTATTAATAATTATTAAAATTAAATAAAATTACTACAATGTTTTAAGCATATTAAATCAAGTAAATATTTCATTTAGCTTGCTCGTTAAAATCCATGCAATCCAAGCACGACAAATAGCCCGACCGATAGATCGAATTGATCGATTAGTCCTATTATTCTAGTTATGTGGTTTGGAGCAAGGGGAGACATTATTGAAAATAATTAAAAGTTGAAAAAATAGAGGTTCTTTGCATATCCCTGCTTCAACCCATAAGAAGGTGTTGTATGCTGGTAAATAGGCCTCCCCTTGGTGTTTATTAATACATAAATATCTATGTTATTAAAGTTTGTGGTAACTTGCCATAGCTTTCCATGATCTTCTATTAGCGTCCATTACGACATTAGGCTAATTTCTTCGCCAACTTCACAGTTTTTATGCGACTTTTTGGCAAACGTCGCCATTATGTTCGATTTTACGGATTTAATCGCCATGAAAGTCAACGAGCTAAAAAACGAACTTTTAAAGTTAGGCTTAGACACGAAAGGGAATAAAATTCAGCTGGTTCAGAGGTTAGCGGATTTTCTGACCATTGGGGGAGAAGATGGCTGTCCAGAGCATGGTGGAACAACCGGTGGTCTCCTAACTAATATTGATAGCAATGGCATTCAGCCTTTGCCAATTTTAGGTGAGTTGTTTTTGTAATTATTTTCTTCATTTGGTGATCTAGTTTTTTTTTGGCTAATTTATGTAGAATATTTTGTACTTTCACTTTCTGAAATATAAACGAAATATTTCATGAATGTTTTTGGCTGTTGCATTTAATGTGTAATCTGTAATGTAATGGTAATGTCGAAATGTAATTTAAATTTTATCTGTAATTCTCTGTAATCAAAATTTGATTATCAAATGATGTATTCCTGACAATGAAACTATTTCTTATTAAATTAAAATTGAATTTTTCAGTTTTTTTGTTCTAATTTGAAAAAAATAATCAAGAATTTGATTGATTTGATAGTTTCATTTCAATTGTTATATATATATGATAATATGTTTGTGTTGTTCATGTGTTTTATAAGTAAGTCAATTAAATTTTAGTTACATTTCATTATTTCATGCTGATCTTGATTGATTTTAAAATAAATAAATAAACTTCGAATATATATTGAAAATTAAATTGAAAACCTCTATAATACGCATCCTATTTTCAAATTAAACATTATATAATGAGTAAGATAAAACAGTAAAAATTTGTAGTTTAGTGAAATATTAATAGTTGGATTTTAAATATATTAATATAGTTAATAATTAGTTAAATTTAGTTATATATTTAATTAAGTATCAAACATTGAAACAAATTTTGTTTTCAACTTGCTAAAACTTAGCCAAACCAAATCCTAATTACTAATTGTTATCAGTAACCTAGTTTTTTTAAGATAAGTAAAATTGCTTTTTTTTAAATGTTTAAAAAGTAGCAAAGTTAGACGTACGTTTTTTTTTTTGAAAAATATATAAAAATAATTTTTAATAAATAATTTAAAAAAATATTACCTTAAGCTATTTTCCTAATTTTTGGCATCTAGTAAAAGAAAAACCATTGAAAAAGTCCAGAAAATCCTACCCAAGTCTGAACAATTCAAATATAAATGACAGCCTGGATGACTCGATTGACTTTAACAGAAAAGTGAAAAAGTTAGAAAATGATGCATTCACAAACGAATTAAAAGTCGTACTGGTTGATATCGGCTTTCTTCTTAAAGGTTTGCTTATTATTAAGAATTGAGTGATTGGGGACAATGGTTTTTAATTATGTTTTTTTTATATTTTTTGTTGTCTTTTGATTAGTAGGTCGCACAATGTTAAAAATTGAAAACTCGTTATTTTTGTTTATTTTTTGATTCTATATAATTTTTTGGTTGTTATGAGTGATAAAAGAAGTGTGTATTATTATAAAAATATTTTTTCTTTGCTGTTGTGGGTCATACTATTTGGTACAAGGTTGGTGTATTTTAAATTGTTTTAAAAACTTTTAAATACACGAGCAATAAGGACAATTTTGAAGGAATGTGATAATTAACCATTTATTAACATTCTATATAAATATTTTTGAAATTGGAGTATAAGAAAATTTTTTTTTTGATTTTTTTCTGTCACGAAAATGCATCGTATTTTTATCAGAATGGTCATAACCATTAAGTTTCATGCTTGATAGTAATTTTTTTTAAGAAATGTGATGGATAATCATTTATTAACATTTTGTAAATTTTTTTTGAAATTTGAGCACAAGTGAATATTTTTCTATCATGCCACAATTCATCGCTAGCGAGCATTTTTAAATAGCAGGTCGTATGCTTTAGACCACAAGTTACCAGTAGAAAGTCTCATTACAGACCTGGTCAATGGAGACCTGGAATTCTTTACCTGATAAAGGCACATGATAAAAATTTTACTGTTATAATTGTGTGTTTGTTTGTGCGTGCGCGCGTGTAATATAATTATAATTGTTGCATTTTATATACTACATATATGATTATTTCATTATTATAGATAAAATTTATTATAGATATAAATTATTCATAATTATTATTTTCTTAATTTGCAGCTGTTATAAAAACAAGAAGAAAAAATTGTGTTGTGTTCAATTATTCAATCATTTTTTTTCTAATTTTGGGCGAGAATATAACGCTCCATGCTCACTCAACATTGAGCGCCACTCCTAACATGGCGCAAGTTGAATGTATAAATAATTCATTCAAAATTCGTTTTCTCTGTAACTATAAATGATACAATAATAAATTTGGTATTATTTTAATCAGAAAATATTGCTTTATAAGAAAAAAATATAGTTTAGATACAAAAAAATTTTAAAAAGCGTGCGACCTACTACTTTAGATCAAACAGCGTGTTTTATTTAAACAGTTTTCAGTCATATTTTTGCTGGGATTTTGTTAAATGTAACCTTTACCTGAAATTTTATTTTTGATTGGGTATGGTTTCAGCCCCAAAGCTTTCCTTTGGCTGCACCTCTGCCTATTATTTTATAAATAATATAGTGATGATTAAAGTTATAATATTTAAAAAAAATCTAAAAACAATATTGATAATTTTCATTGTTTCAAAGATGAGAACGAATTGAAATCAAAGTACGGCCTAATGTTCAACTCGCCATTCAAAGCCACCCAGACTGCCAGCTACAAAAAAAGGCAGAGAGCAATCAAAAAACCAAAACGTTATTCACTTCCACCTCAAATCGACTATCACCATCCCCACAGCGTCAACAACAAAATCGACAACAGCAGCTTCTACAGCTGCTGCAACAACTACAACATTCAGAACAATGTAGACTACTTCCCGACATATCTTTCAATGGCTGATCCAATCCTCGATGGATCTTCTTTCATTGTGAAGGATGACTTCGCGAATAAATTTAAAAGACGCAGGGTGAAGAACAGGCATAATACAGAAATCATAAACACATCCATTACTCCTACTTTCACTACCGATATTGGTGACATCACTTCAGCTACTTCATCTACCACTGCCACAACTTCTACTAATGTGGTTACTAGCAGCAGAAGTAAAGCTAGATGTAACGTTCAAATTGATCTTCGTAGCGACGGCTTCAACAGTAATGTCACTGACGAAATTGACTTGAGTAATAATGATAGCGTTGTTGCTGGTGCTCCTATCGAGCCGACAAAAATCACTCATGGCAATAAAAAACGTAAGGACATCAACAATAACATCAAAGCTGATGACAGTAGCAATGATGAGGACTGTTTGAATGACATTGTTAATGACAAAAATAGAAAAAATATTAAGCTAAGTGGTAAAAAACTGAAGAAAACTTGCCGAGTTATATCCAATTATGATGATGTTAGCAATGACGTCATTCATAATAACAACAACGATAACATTAAAAGCGCTGATGGTGACATCAATGCCAATGGTGGTAGAATATCGTTCATCAACATCATTGAGAACGTGGATAGGCTTTTAAATAATGTTGAGACCCTTCAGATCGCTGACGACAAGAGAGATAACAGCAGTGACGTCATCAGCAGCAACGATGATGATGACGTCATCAACGGTAACAACGACGATGATGACGTCAACAACAGTAACAACGATGATAAAGATTCTGGTGATCCAAATGCCAACCTTGATCCCAGTACTAAGGGTAGTAATGTTTCTGTCACTACTGCTGCTGCTACTACATCTGTTGCTGTTGTTAATACAGCTGCTACTACTACTTATACTACTACTACAATTACTACAGATAGTAATTGTATTACGGAAACTAAAAGATCTTCTAACAAAAGTAGCAACAACAACAACAAAGTTAGCACAAACGACATCAACAACAAAATTTGCAGCAGATCAAATTTCACTAGTGAATGTCTGAATGATTTTGTAGAGAATTTTTCCCATATCAATTTTGTTGATGACGACGACGACGTACATCAGGAAGGTGATAACAATGATAGCACTGAAACTAATGATAATAATGATACTAATAAAAGTAGTAATGATGGTCTGAAAGCTAGTATTACTACTACTGCTACTACTACTACAAGTTGTACTGTTAGTAATGATACTTGCAACAGCAGCTTCAATAATGACAAAGAAGTTGAAGCTGATGACGACAAAAGCCATGATGATGATAATGATGGTGGTTATGTATTTTTCAGGAAAGATAACTATAATGATGACGACGACGGCGATGATGATGATGATGTTGTCGTTCCGTTGACAGATCTTGACGACGATGATGATGAGGATGATGAAGGGGATGGTGAGAATAATGAGGATAATGGTCATGTATTTATCATCAATCAAGATGATGGTGATGATGGTAATAATGATGACGATGGCAGTGATAACCATTACGACATTGCAGACAAACTTAGCGTCATCTCTTCAATGAGTAGACTGTTATCAGGTGACGATGCAGATGGTGATGATAATGATGGGACAAACAATAATAATAATAATAATAACGATAATAATGATAATAATAATAATAACGCTGGCTATGATGACGATTTGATTGAGAAGCTAAATCCTTTGATTGGGAAAGAAATCACCCTGCTTGATCTGATTAAGATGAATCGAGATAACAGTGGTAGTAGCAATAACGACAATGCTAATGATGCTAATAAGGTGAGGATTGATGGCAGTGATGACATCAACATCTGCAAGAATGACAACAATGACATTAGTAGTGATGACAGCTTGAAAGATCTTGAAAGTTACAATCAGCAGGACATCTTAAACAGCCAGCCAATCACAGCTCTGCAGGGTAGCAACATTTTACAACATCAACAACAACAACAGCATCAAAGCATACATATCAACTTGCAAAGTAGTGTTGATATGTATGTGGAGCAGCAGTCTGCAACGTTCCAACAAATGTTGTCAACAATTCCATCCCTGTCGACACCTTCTGCAACATTTTTTTCTACATCCCCGATCGTCGCCATGCCTGCAAACGCTACTGCGGCTTCTTCGGCTACTGCAACGGCCACTACACTTCTTCCATCTATAATGGCGTTTGTGGATAACGGCGTCTACTACAACGAAGCAGCCCACTCTGACTTGTGTAGTATCAATACTGCTACTAATACTACATGTTGTGGTAGCTGTGGCTGTAGTAATTGCAGCTGTTGCTTCAGTAGCAACGTTGTTGTCGTCGACGCTGCTGATGTAGTTTGTGGTAATGCTAACATCGGTTTGGGTTTGATGAACAGCAGCAACAAAAACAGCAGCTACAGTGCGTCAAGAACCTCTGCAATTATTCCATCAAAAAGATTTCTAGCTAGGCAGACTTATGACAATGATATGGTTTTATATAATAATAATAATAATAATAATAATAATTATAGTGATAATTATGTTAGTAGTAATAATAATAATGATGATGAGGACGACGATGTGAATAATGATGACGACGAAAATGAGTGTGTGGTAGCAGTTGGTGATGATGGGGTCTGTGGGGATTATGACTTTGCTAATAATGCTAGCATTAACGTTAATAATAATAATAATAATCTAAATGACGTCATCAATAACAGTAATAATAATAATAATATAAGATCCCACAGGCCGTCCTTTGTTGACGATGTCTTAGACAGCATTGAAAAGTACAAGAGCATCAAGAGCGGCAACAATAATAATGATAACAACAACAACAACAGTAATAATAACAATGATAATGATAGTAACATCCTCAACAATAGCACTGACTCGTTGGTTCTTGACTACGACAACACCATGGCCACATACAGTAACGATGACGTCGACTTCAACTCATTAATTGAGGATGTCGCCGATACGGTAGATGTTGATGTTTTCCAGCATAGCTTCTGGGATGATGTGAGTGACGACGACGACAACAACAACAACAACAATGTTAACAACAACAATGCTAACAATAACAACAATGCTAACAACAACAACAATGCTAACAACAGCAACAACAACAATTCTAACAATGATACTAAAGATGCAGATCGTAATAACGGCACTAGTAAGAGTAACAACAATAACGATGATGATAAGATTGTTAGTGATAATAATGATGATAGCATTAATGATAACCGCGATAGGGAGACATTGAATTCCATGATTGAAGATGTATTCTCCCCTGCTACTGCCAACTTTCTGCTGGGTTTTCCTACAGCTTTACCCATAACTTCATCACCATCATCATCAGTAGTAGTAGTACAATCATCATCATCATCATTGCCACAGTTATCGCAATCATCATCACAACCCATTTCAACATCAACACAACCCTCACCATCGCAACCCTCACCATCACAAACACCACTGCCATCATCATCTTCGTCATCACACACATCATCATCGTCGTTATCATTTTCACACGCACCGTCCTCATCGTCGTCGTCGTCATCATCATCATCGAGTTGTGGAA